GGCACAGTGGCGGGCCGTGCCGGTGCGGAGCGAGCAGAGCAGAGCGGAGCAGCGGAGGTTTGGTTTAGTAGTCAGTCTCACCTCGCCACCTCCTCTGCCCACTTTGGCTGAGCCGTGCCCGTGCCGCACGCCCGTGCCTGCCCTTGCCTGCCGTGTTGACGTCCCCGTGCCGCTGTCGCCCCTCGTCCAGGATGTGCCCCACCGCTGCTGGAGTGTGAGCCAGGAGCCGCCGCGTGCACCCGATCGACCCGGACCACCCCAACCGCCGCGACGAACACGTGAGTCGAGCCCTTCGGGCCCTTTGCCTCCGCGGCGCCAGCGGTCGTCCCGGGCCGGGGCGGGAGTCGAACCGGAGCCCGCCACAGGTGATGTCATGCCGGCCGGGTGGTGGGTGGGTGGGCTCTCTCCGTCCTTCGCACCCTCGTATCGGCTGTAAGCGCTCGTCAGGAACGCCAGGTTGCCGTCGCCGGCCGCTGTTTTGGGGGCGTTCAACTCGGTCGCGCCGCTGACACTTGGAAGCCCGCTCTCTCGGGACCTTCAGAATGTATGAATGGAGCAGCTTTGTTGGCAGGCCGGCACGGTGGCGCGCTTTCGCCATGCCGTGTCCTCCTCCTGCGCCACCCACACGGCGGCCTGCTTGTGCTGAATGAAGGGAAACATGAGTGCGTAGGGCCGCGCCTCCTCTGGCTCGCCTCCCCCGCGCACCCCCGGGCGTGGCGTGGCGCGGCGCGGATCAGCTGAGTGTGAGGACATGCAGGGCCACGCGGATAGCTGACGATGCGGCGACGCGCCCGTTTTTGCCCGTTTCTGCTCGACGGGGGTCGCCACTAAAGCCATTGAGGCTGATTGCCCCAGTGGCGTGTTGTGTCCTCTCGTCCTCTCCACCACTGGAGCGGGCGGCGCGGCGGAGCGGGCAGGAAGCGGCCGTGGCCTTGGGCAGCGACAGGGACTGCACCCCTCCGGGCTGGGAGAGAGGGAGAGGGGCCGGCCGCCCCTCAAGAGCCTCTCGCCTGGACGGGCGGGGGTTGGTGGTGGTGGTGTTGCGCAAACGTCAGAGGCCATAATAATAAAACACATTTCCATTTCTTTTGCGCCTCGCCGGCCCGGCCGGCGCACGGCTGTTTGACAGTGTACTACATCCCGGTGACGAGCATTCCACCGGCGGCCGAAGTCCCCGCTAGCAAGCCCGGGGCGGGGGCGGGGCG